CTCTTTTTCTGATTCTTGCATATTCGATTTATTCTATATTTTTATTCTATAGTAGACTGACTTATATATCCAATTCACCAATTCATTCATATGTAAATTTTTTTTCTAATGAAATTGTTTGTAATAGTAATTATTTTCAAAAATCTTTTAATGATAAAAAATTGATAATTTCAAATATTGATTAATGATTAATCTTCTATTTTGGAAAGCAAAAATTATTTTTTTCTTTTATTTCTCTATTTATATCAATATAAAATCTTTAAAAAGAAATTTTATATAATAAAAATAAAAAAAATAAATGATAATGTATAGAATATAATCTGTCCCACAGATTGCAGAATTCATTTGTCAAGATGCCAGAAACGTCACAAATATTGACATTGACGCCAATAAAATAAATACTTGTTATTTAAAGAATTATTATGAGCAAAAATTTCTCAACAACAATGATCAGGTAAGATTAATAATTATTTTATTATATATCCATCTCATGTTATTTATAGATCTTTTTTTAGCTATCTATTTTAATATCAATAATCATCATGTAAATTTTCATTATTTAAAAATAATATATTTCATGATATCATATAAGCATGTAGTCACATTCTTTCATACAATTCAAACCATTGTTATAGTATTTTATTACCAAACAGATTAGCAATTATTATTTTCTATCTTTTAGATTACAATGAAAAATTCTAGAATTTCTTTCCTTATAAGCAGATTAAGTTTCATATATAGAGAATTAATAAATATTAAATGTCCGTATTCTTTTTTTTCAATTTTTAATTGATGTTTTACTATTGAATCTTCTTTCTTTAATAATTTTCTTTTACATAAAATATATTATTGTTCAAATATTATTCTGTTACACTGTTCATCAAAACTTTTGCTTCGACTTGTTAAGATAAAGGGCAGATCGAAGAGAAGAGAGGAAAGGCGAACCTAAATATAGCTCGTTAAAGGTAGAGAAAATCGATTTATACATAAAATAAGTATTCGTGTCTATACTTAGTTCTGGCCTCCTAACGCAAACTACTCGATTAAGACTCTTCGTTCCATAAAATGGTAACATAAAAATTCTACGATAACAATTCAGGTATATACTTGAACCTCTGCATGATAGTCTGGGTCAGATTTCTCATTCCTTGACAATCGGTGAAACATAATTCTTTTTTAACGCAATATATGCTGACACATTCAATATAAATTTAAAAGATTCCACTGGAACCTTGAAACCAGGTCAAACAGCTGTACGGCATTATTTAATTATACAAAACTAGCGATTTTGATGAATTATTCACAATTTCGTCGTTTCTTCTTTAAGTATGTACTGATTGAAGTTCTATTATATGTATATTATTGATGATTCATAATATGTGGAATTCGATAAGATCAAACAGATATAACTTAACATTCCACAGATAAACAGGATCTCATATTTCATATTCATTTGATTAAAGTTTCATGATTGATAATCAAAATAATATATAGAATTCAAAAATTTAAAAAATAAATTAATAAATTAAATGTTTTATAATTAAATTAGAATAGCATAAAATAGAAAAAGAAGAAATTCTATCAAAAACTGTAATAACAATTTTTATGAAAAAATATAAGTTTTTTTAGTTTCAAGTTCATGTTAATTATAACAGATGTTAGATCTTGTTAAATCAATTTTGGAGTGTTAATAATTAACATACCGCCGTAGTCTTCCGTTTCTCACGCTTTTTCAAGAGAAGATTCCTCACGAGCATTGCTCGCAGTTGAGACAAGTAGACCCCGCACGTACCCATTTTGCGAGATGTACTCGTCTTTGTAATTTCTGCAACATAAACGGAGGCAAGATAAATTTTTTTTTTTTTATAAAATATATGGAATTTAAATTAATGTAATATATTGATTCAAGTGTGCTTTTTATCAAATTGATAAATGTATCTGTGAATTTAATGATAAAATAAAATACTTAATGATTAATATTATACATGTTTGTTTATAAATATATATGTATAGTTTGCAGAATTTTTTTTAGAATATTAAATTATTAATTGATTATGAAATATAATATTTTTATATTTCAGCAAGATTATTCCCATCTTCCCAGAACCAATCATTTTGTCTTTAACAAATCAGACAACCATCTATCACTTTTATTACTTTTATTACAATCTAATTACACTCAAGTCCTACAAATAATTTCATTCAAATCTTTGAAAACTTTTACTTTCTATCGACTTTACTATCCTATTATAATTTCCATTTCACTAAGCATTTCCTATTAATGACCTCTTCAACCTCAAATCTATTCATTTGATTCCCTGATCCAATCAGACATTTTAAATCTAATATTCTCTCCACCAATCACCCTAAATCGAATAAATTCGATCAGAATGCAAATTTCCTTCCATATTCGATCATTAAGTTATGGATATTTCTAATTATTATTGTGCGAAAAGTTGGCCATTATATTGACTTAAAAGTAAAAAATGTACTCACTTATGATTTTGATGATGATAAATCAACAATACACAATAGTATTAATTTTAAAACTCTTATTATAAATCTACAATAATATAATATTTTGAAATTAATATCGGTTTTTCTAAAACTTTGTTCAATTACATTATATTTGATAATGATAATTTCCTGGTGTATTTTATTCTTATGATTTTCTTAACCAAATTCTTATTTTTACTTTGTACTTCAATGTATCTCGTTTTTTTTTCGATAAACATGCTTCTCTATAAATAGATTTGCGTTATGAAAGTTTCGATTAGCAATAAAAATTTATGAACGCTATATTTGTAATCGTACGAGAGGAAATACAGGCCTACAATCAATCAAACTCAAATTCCTTCCGCTCGTCAATTTCTCATCTCTGAAACAATAAGGCTTTCCTAAATTTCAGATTTGTATGGATCTATATTTCGCGGTATCGGTTGAACCAATCGCGGAAAAAGATTCTTATTGATTAACATCCAACTGTGCCGATGATTGGCCCCGGCCGTGATGAAGGTTTTCGCTTCGACGTTCAGACTTTTTGTTGGAAAGTCACGGGCCTAGTAACATCTGCTTGCCACATAAATACATAGATATAGCAGCGATGTGGTCGATAATTCGTCGTTTGCACTATTTAAGCATTCGCGCGTGTAAGAGCGAGCAATATGCCATCGAATATGTCAAGGTCTTCGTATATAGTTCCTCTATAGTAACCTATGAAAAAAAAAAATAATTTATTAGTGGATAAATGGATGGTGGAAGTAAGAGTTAAGACCGGAATAACAATGGAACCGAAAAGAGAAGATGTGGATAGAATATATAGATAGTGGGAGATAAATGTGGACACGTGATCTTTTTGATGATTATTGTCAAATGATCAATAATTTTATAAAGAATCAATATGAATGAGTTTGATTGAACTTGAATCAATAACGGAAATTATATTTTTTATAAGCATAAATATTATGCTTATTAACATTAAAAAATTCTACTATTGTTCTATTATAATATTAAAGAAATTTATAAATGAAATTAATTTTAACATATAATTTAAAATATGATTTTGCTGTAAATACTGAAAAATATTTCCTTTTCAAAAAAAAAAAAAAAAAAATCAAATTTGATAATACAATTAA